CAACGTGGCACTCACTCTACAACACTGATCCACCATGTAGAGCCATTAGGTGTATGACAATACATAGTCATAATAAATTGGGTTAATTATGGTGTGATGGGCTTCAATGATCTATTTTTAATGTAAGATACTTAACTTTCCATTTATATGTTAATGTTTAATAAATCAATCAGCTCTCAATTTCCTGAACATTCTGTATCTGTTAGAATAGCAAAAACAAAAACAGTGACCCAGCCAGGCACGGGTGGCTCAAGCCTATAATCCTAGCTCCTCAGGGGGCTGAGATCTGATGATCACAGGTCAAAGCTAGCCTGGGCAGGAAACTCCATAAGACTCTTATCTCCAATAAACCACTTGAAAACAGGAAGTGGCACTGTGACTCAAGCTGTGTGCTTGCCTTGAGCTGAAGAGTGCAGGGACAGCCCCCAAGCCCAGAGTTCAAGACCCATGACAAAAATAAAAAATAAACAAAAAAACAGTGACCCAAGTATTAGTATGCATGATGGAGACTGCAGAGTCTTACAATTCTGGGGAGTTTATAAAGTGGAGCCACCACTGTGGAAAAGTTATGAAAAAGTTAACCACACACCTACCATGTGATTTTTCACCACTGTGACAAATGCCAGAGCGAAGCAATTCAAAAGAAGGAAAAGCTGGGGACTGATGGCTCATGCCTGTCATCCTAACTACTTAGGAGGCTGAAATCTGAGGATCCCAGTTTGAAGCTACCCTGGATAGACAAATCCAAGAGACATCTCCAGTTAGCCAACAAAAAGCCAGAAGTGGCAGTGTAGCTCAAGTAGCTTAGCACTAGCTAAGGGAGCACTTGAGGCTCTTTGTTCAAGCCCCAGTATCATCACACACACACACACACACACACACACACACACACACACACACACACACACACACGCACACACACACACAGAATGGTTGGTGGTTTGCCCTAAATGGCAGAGTGTCTCCCTAGCAAGCATGAAACCCTAAATTCAAACCCCATTACTACCAAGAAAAAAGAAGAAGAGAGATTTATTTTGGATCATAGTTCTCAGTCCATGGGTGTGGCTGGCTTCATTACTTCCAGTCTGCAACAAAGCAGAACATAGCAGTAGCCAGAACATACGGAGGAGGAGACTGCTCACATGTGGCAGCCAGGAAAGCCAGAGGTAGGAAAGGATCAGGGAAAAGATATCCTGCAAAACACACCTGCAGTGACCTACTTCCTCCAACCAAACCCCATTTCCTACCACCTCCCAATAATGCCACCAAATTATGAATCATCAGTGGATTCAATTACTAATGAAGCCAGAGCCCTCATGACCCAATCGCTTCCCAATGACTTTATCAGCATCTGGAGACAGTCTTTAACACTTGAGTCTTTCAGGGGGTACTTCATATTCAAACCATAACAAAGGCCATTTGGTTTTCTGCTATTCTGGTGGATTCCTCATACATTTTGATATTAACTCCCTATTATTAGAACAGGATTCTCAAATAATTTTTCCTAATATATGATGTGCATTATACATGAAAAATGCATACTCATACATGTACTATAGGTTCGGTTTCTCTCTCTGGATAGCCCATCCTGACATAGCCATCCTGTTGAGCAGGTTCATTTTTAAGATTCAGAGCCTGAAGCCAGTCATTTCAAGCATAAATGCTCCAAATGGAGACCCAGTGGGCAATAGGAAATGACACTATATGGAAAAGACTCTTCACAGGAACCAAAAAGTGGTCTTCAGGGCGTGTTGAAGAATTTGTAGGATAGGCTGGGAAGGTGGCTCAGTGGTAGAGCGCTTGCCTTGCATGCTTGAGGCCCTGGGTTCGATTCCTCAGCACCACATAAGCAAAAAGAAAAAAAGCCAGAAGTGGCGCTGTGGCTCAAGTGGTAGAATGTTAGACTTGAGCTGAAGAGCTGAGGGACAGTGCCCAGGCCCAGAGCTCAGGCCCCACGACCAGAACCAAAAAAAAAAAAAATAATAAGAATTTGTAGGAAAGAAGTGGGATGATCCACTTTCCCACAGTCTTAAATATGGCCAGATTAGCATAGAGGGGCTGTTCAGGTAAGAACTACACAAACAAGGCAATGTGGGAGAGAACAGAATGTGCCTCAGGACAGAGTGTCTGGGAAACATGGGGAGGTAGAACACCCCCTCCTCCCCACTATGTGATCCAGTAGAAATGATATGGGGAGATGAGGAGGGACGATAAGTCATTTGAAAAGATCTTTGGGAGTGCTAGCATCAAGAACATCTTGGCCTCCCCTCCCTCCACAGAAGAGTCAGGATGGTGCTTTGTGGCGCCCAAGCCCCTCCCAGGCCAGTACTAGACTAACTTGAGTTGCTCGCTGACCAAACAATGGCAAAGTGTGGGATCACTCACTGTCCTGGGAGGAAACATTCAGGGCAGTCTGGAGGGGAAAATGGCCAGAAAGCTACCACCACGTAGCACAGACACTGAACATCTGACTTCAAGTTCCCCAGGGAGGAGGAAAAGGAGCGCCAATGTTCAACTCAGGTTCCAGCCAAAGGTGAGCTAATGCCCCTGACCCCTCCTCCCATAACTCCTTCCCTGGCCTGGCCTGCCATACACCCAAATCAGCTAACCACACCCTTTCCTATGTGTCCTTGTTCCCATGGCTCCTGAAACTTCCTTTCCCAAATCAATGACTTTCTGTGAGCTCCTGGTTGTCTTTCTAGCTTCCCAGGACAACACTGAAGCCCCCCAAACTCCATTATGGGTGGTGGAATAAAAAAAGCCTTCTCTAAGCCGAGCATCGGTGGCTCATGCCTGTAATCCTACCTATTCAGGAGGCTGAGATCTGAGGATCTCGGTTCAAAGCCAGCCCAAGCAGGAAACTCCATGAGACTCTTATCTTCAATGAACCACTCAAAAAACCAGAAGTGGCTCAGTGGCTCAAGTGGTAGAACACTAGCCTTGAGCTGAAAAGCTGAGGGACAGCACCCAAGCCCAGAGTCCAAGCCCACAACAACAAAAAAAGCCTTCTCCAAAATTTCCTGAGTAAACATGGAAGTCTTGACAGACTAAAGGCAGTTAATTCATATAGGAAAATATCTGTAAGAACACTGGGAAAAACGAATGGATAGAAAAGTTCTCTCTTGTAGGACAGAAAGAGATGACTTTCTGGATGCATGAAAGCAATCAAATATCCTCAGAAACAACACTGTGGCATTATCTTGGAAGAATTTTAGTTAAGACATATAAACACTAATGATGAATGGTGGGAGAGAACTGAATGTGGCGTCGAGATAGGAAATATATGGAAGAATGGGAATTATTGAGACCCAAAGTCTCGTCTAAGCATTGTTAATTAATAGCCTGTGACCCAGGGAAATTGCCCAGGCTGTGAGCCTCAGGTTCATCTGGGAAGCAAACAGGGTCTGTTCAATAGGCCTGCTGGATCCTGATACATTTTCTATGTAAAGTTCCTGAAGTGGTGACTGTGTGTGTGTGATTGCAGTTAATGTCAGTAGATATTCTTTTTAACAGTGTTCCAGCCCAGCCCTGTCCACTCTGGGATATCATTGGGGTGCTCATGGTTCTCTAGGACAGCCAGAGAAGCACGGAATAGCTCATCAGCCAGGATGAAATTTCATGAAGCAAATTCAGTACATATTTTTAGAGGACACATTGCAAAATTTGGCTGTGAATGACTTCCTTGCTGGGCAACTCTTAGAACTTGAACTAAGGACCAGCTCCTTCCCTTTCTCCTTCTTCCTTCCCTCTTTTCCACCCTCCTTCAGAGCTGTTTCTCTATCCACACAACTCTCACCACCACTCAAAAATCTAGCTCTTGCCTATCATTGGCTGAATTACTCCCAGGATAATAAATGCAAGTGCCATTGTAACTGTAATTGTCTCTGGCTCTCCCAGCCAAGCAGAAGAGCACTTGGCCAGGGCTTTCTAGGCTTCACCTAGGCAAAGCTTACCCCTATCCCAGGAAATCCTGGGACGATGCAGCTAAGTCTCCTAGCTCTTGTACATTGTTCAGCCACACTTACCTATGTGCCCCAGGAGAGGATTCCTCTCTGCGTTATCCAGCATCCCAAAGGAACTTCTCAGTGCAGTCTTTTATTCTCTTTGGCCTAAGTCACACCACCTGAGGATGAACCCCCATGGAAGGAATTAGTTTCCTCAACTGCCAAACTGCCTTGGCTCAGGACATTGACACTGGGCTGCTCTCCTCTGGCGCCCAACCTCCTCCCCAATTACTTTCTTCTTCATCACATTTTAGATGACATCTGAATATCCACTAATATGGCTACTGCTCCTAGACCACAACATTCTTTGGAGAAAGATGGACCCGACTGACCATAGCTTATTAATATCTTCACCACTTACCAAAGGCCTCCCAAAGAGCAGATGCTTAGTGAAGGTCTGAAGAATGAGATGGTGAGTTTGAGGACGCATTTATAGAGATATACTTTAATGCATTTTCAAATAAAAGTCAAATAAACGCAGGTCAACAAACGTATTTTTTTTAATGTTACAGGGAAGAAAAAAATAAGGACAGGCAAGAATGAACTTTTCATTTCTCCATTTCTCTATACCATGTATTTTACTGCTGGATCATTTCCATTTCCAAGAAATTACACACTCACTCCAGTGCTATGTTAACCTGTCCTCAGTGACAAAATAACACAGTTTACAAATTAGTTGAACAATTAGCAAGTCACACTCCTAAACTATATTAACAGCAATAAATGTATGACTACTGTCATTCATAACCTTCCATTATGAAGCTGAATAAACCTTCAATTAAAAGGGCCAACTGAAAAATTCCAAAGGAAACAAGAGGTCAACTCGAAGTCACTTGTATGGCACACCATACGTTCCTCTCAACTCACCCTAAAACTCCGCTACTGAGAAGGCTGACTTCGGTCTTCAAACACAAAGTGAACAATGGGTATCATGTACCATGGGATTTGGCCCTGGAATATAAACACCCCCTTCCCCCCAATGCCCTTGACTCTGACTCATGCGTAGGGGTCCCGTTCCTTCTCTCTCTCCTCTCTCAATGCTTCTTCATACAGGGATGGGAAGCATGTGGGTTCACACTCACTGAATAAAGCCCACCAACTCAGGACTTTCATCTTGCTGGTTTCTAAGTAGGCCCTTGGACCCCACAGGAACTCATAGCAAACAGGTTCACTGTTGGGCACCTGTTGGTACCGCAAGTATCTTTCCTGCACAAAAATTTCAGTGATTAACTTCCTGGGATTCCCATAAAGGTAGTGCCGTGACCCAGGATACACCCCCATATTACTCAGTGTTTCCCAGATCATGGCTTCAGAAACACGGTTGCCCTCCTTAAAGATGATACACAAGATCATGATTAGAAGGCCCGTCTTTGGCACACCCTGGATATCACACATTATCCCATCATATGTGAGCCCCAGGGAAGTGACAAGGATGTAGGAGTGGTTGGTGGGATTCACTTCCTTCAGCTCAAGGCCAAATATCAGCTGTAGTCTCTCAGAGACCTTACAGAAGATCACAGAGTAGTACTCATGGTGATTTGTGATGACTTCCAGCATTTGTGCCTTGGTGACCAGCTCCTTCCTGCAATACTTGAGGAGCAGGAAAGGCACCAAGGCTAGAACGTCTCCTAGCAAGGATTCAGGGTTTCGCGGGATAATGCCCTGGTTACCTCCAAGGAACAAATGCTCTTGTTCTTGGTTTCTGGAGCCCTGATTGACTTGGTTCTCTGCAGCAGAAACCAAGGCACTGGGGGCAGAGGAGGCTCTCTGGGGACTACCTGGTAACCCAGGAGCAGGCACCACCCTTGGAGTGCCTGGGATCACAGCAGAGCTGGAGGAAGAGGCAGTGGCAGTGGCCTTCTCCTCCTCAGCCACCAGGACTGGGGACCTACCCACAAGGCCCTGCCGTGCCTCTCTCTGGTCCTGAGAGTCTTCCTCACGCTCGCCCTGCCGGCTTCTCTGACGATAAGGCATCATGGCTGTTGTTGGGCACAGCAGGCAAGAACTTGGTGATGCAGACTCCCAGACCTGGGGAGAGAGGGAGCATGTGAGTGGATGCAGCCTAGAACTCCACCCTTGGTGTTCTAGCAAATGCTTTATTGCTGGTGTTTTCTTTGCGGGGGGGGGCAGGCTCCTGGCTTCCTGGTGGTCTGTTCCCTGAGAGCCTGAGGAAGGAATGGTGTGGCTTCTCATGGGGCAGGTGGCTCTCAGAGCTTAGGGTCATATGGCTATCTGTACAGCATGTGGAGCTGGGCAATGTAGGAGTCTCCGGTGTCCTGACATGGGCGAGCCATTGGTACAAATTCATAGTGTGCACTTCTAACCCAGCCTGGGCGTCACCTCCTCTCTGACCTGAGGACAATCTCTTAGACCATGCTTTCAGCTCCTGGTTGCTAAAGCTGGTAGAAGCAGCCCTGATCGGCCCTCCTTTCCTCCTTCCTTCCCTGAGGCTCCAGCCTCCAAAACCATCACTGGGCCTCTAGCCATAAAAGTGGAGTGGGCTGCACTCTTGAAGATCCTACTGTTCTGAGGTGACTGTTCCTTTTATGCCCACTCTGAGCCTCCATCTGTCTCCTTGCCAGCAGTTGGTCCTTAATACTGACAAAAGTCAGCCAGAGGTCCCCACATAGGGCTACACCTGTTTGGGGGCAGCAGCAAGCAGTGACCAAACTTGTTGTGTAGTATGTACATGGGAGATCTGGTGATCATGTCTTGATAAATGGCAAGGTCTGGAACTACTCTCTGATGATCCGAGGCTACCTCCCTTACACCAGAACCCTTTCTTTGTGACATACCAGAAGAGGAGCCGAGGGAAAGGCCAATCCACGCAGTCCCCAGGTTTTCCCATAGCTGGGAGGTTGGGGCTGGGGTCCCATGTGTTTTTGTGAGGATGATCCCTCCTCTCCTCACCTTAACTCCTGGAAGATCCTGGACACCTCCCTCTGCTGACCAGGTACAGTCCCTTCTGCTCTCCTAGTGCCTCCTTTTATGGAAAGGTCTCAAGGGTTCTAAGACCTAGGAGACAGAAATGAGAAGATAGCTTATTTGGACACCCCTGCAGGAGTTTCCCTAGGATGACAAAGGAGGCAGGTTTTAGGGGTCTTTTGTCTGAAGTGTCCTTAAGGTATTCACACTTAGTCCTCACAAGGCCTTCGTCCTCTTCCTCTGCTGTTCTGTACATTTGTTTCACAGCTAAGCCGATGTATTTCCCCAAAATACCAGAACCCCAAGTAGAAAGCCTGTGGTGGCATATATCCCCACACTCCTGTTCATAGCCACCCTGGGCTGAAAGAGTAAATTTCCTATATCTTAGATCACAGGTTTTCTGGGTCTTTCCTTAGGGCCCTGATGACCAGAGACCACACTCCTAGACCAAGACCCACTCCTCTCTGATATACCAAAGGCAGAAGTGCACATGCCCTGAATCTAGCCACTCTGTCCAGAAACTCCAAGGGATGATAGGAGGAGCAAGGATCCCCTGTGATCTGGAGTGCAAGATCCCTTTATTCCTGCTTTTGGGTCTGCCCCTTTACTCCAGGCAGGAGCTCTACGCTATGATAGCCTGAATCTTCCTCCCTCAGATTGCACAATCTTGTGGACTGCAGGAAATAGACTAATAGGGGCAGATCTGGGACCCATCAGTTCTCCTGAGTAGCTAGGATTACAGATATGAGTCACCAATGCCTTGTCCTGGTCCCATCAGTTCTGCCTTGTATCTCACCTCATCTCCTGATTGTAGACCCCTCCATCTGCTGAGGTGATGTTCTTCCTTCCAAAGTTAAACATAGCTAACACTCAGAGGCAGAAGCCCGAAATATTTTTCTTATTACCGCATGGAACCTCCCAGGGTTCACAGCAAGCTGGAGTTTGGTGGTTTGTGTGCATGTGTGGAGGGGGGTGGGCTCCTGGAGTTTGTACTCAGGGCTTTGGTGCTGTCTTACGGTCCTCTATCACTTGAGCCAGAGTTCCACTTTCGGCTTTTATGTGTGTGTGTGTGTGGGGGGGTGTGGAATGGATAGTGTATTGGAAATAAAAGAGCCTCTTGGATGTTCCTGTCCGAGTTGACTTCAAACTGTGAGCCTCACATGTCAGCCTCTGGAGTAGCTAAGATTACAGGTGCAAGCTGCTGGCACTCAGCTACAAGGCTGAGTGCCTTTAGGATAATCTCAGCTCTTCCCATGTCCTTGATGTCCACCTATGTCTGGACCCTTGAATTGTATACTTGAGATCCTGTTCCTTCTGGGATAATCCTAGTCTCTCTCAGATCCAGAAGCAGAAGGCAGGCATTACCTGCCTGGTCAATCTGAATGGGGTCTCCCAGAACTATCAGTGGGGACAGGGTTCAATGAGTCCCTCTTTGTCTTGGAGTTTAAGCTCCTCTTCTGCAAAATCTAGGCTCTATCCCCTCCAACTACAGTGCTCACTTATTTTTCTAGCCTCCAAGCCTGATTTAGGGGTGGACACATCTAACCGTGGTGCCAGGGCCACATAGGACTAACAGCAGAAATATAACAGGCTTTTTGGGGGCCCCACCATCTTCCTTCTGGGTCCTCCCATTGACCCCAAACAAAGCCTATCTTCCATTGTCTTCCAATGCCATTTGTACCCCTCAGATCAACACCCTGACTCCCATAGTCCTCTGAGGCTGAAGGAAGGTGTCAGGAATGGGTAGTGAAGGATTGACCCCCCCCCCCGTTTTCCAGGTGCATACAGATACCAGGCAACCAAAAAGAGATAAGTGCAGACTGCCTGACTCCAGCAGGGCAATCTATCTAAGCCTAGAATGTTCAATCAGTTGCTGGTTTTTTTTTTGGTCGGTCCTGGGGCTTGAACTTTGGGCTTGGGTGCTGTCCCTGTGCTCTTCAGCTCAAGGGGAGCACTCTACTGCTTGAGCCACAGTGCCACTTCGAGTTTTCTAGTGGTTTATTGGAGATAAAGAGTCTCTCAGACTTTCCTGCCCAGGATATCTTTGATCTCAGCCTCCTAAGTAGCTAGGATTACAGGCATGAGCCACTGGTACCCCGCCAGTTGGTGTTTTAAAACTGTCATGTTTGCTGAGTTTGTCATTACCTATTTTATCCTAAGTAATAAGTTGCAGGTAAACTTGCTTAAAAGCTACCTCTGTTTGGTCTCCTTGTTGCTTAAATTGGGACTAAAAAGGTCACAGACTATATCAACCCCTCTGATGTGGGATTCTGCCAACTGAAACAAGTCATCCCAGCAATGAGCAACGCTAAATATCATCCCAGCAAGGAGAAGAGACCCCCCAGACCCACCTGGACAGTCCTGGTGACCAGGGACTACACAGAGGCAGTTGGGAAGGACTGCTCAGCTAACAGGGGATGGTGTCAGATCCTGAATAGAGTCACTTTGTGCTTGTCCTTTCAAAATCAACCAGAGCCAGGAGATCAAAAGAAAATAGTTCATAAACATACCCATCGAATATCCATACTTATCTATATTCTAACTGGATAGAAACTTACTCTTGCCTTTGTTACCTGCTATTTCTATTTCCCATCCATACTACATAGTGCAGACATCTATAGTCCAGTTATATGGAAAGTCCTCCTTCCCTGTAATAGGCCACAACTGGGTTATGCTCCAAATGAAACTTTTCTGGCTTGTGCCCAGGGTGTGTTTTCCTGTGTCATTCATATCAACTAGTCCTACCACCTTGTCATTCTTTTGCCTGATCTCATCTTTTTCAAGTGTCTACCAGTATGACAACCCTCACTGAGGACACCACCTGGGAGCACATCAAGACCACCCTATTACTGCAGGCAAATGGAGGCTTTGCTTACACTGCCCTGCCCTGCCCAGCGCAGACCTGGACCCTGAAGACTCTGCCCCCAGTGACTTCTTGACAGCCCCATGTCAGCAGGAAGTAGCCACGATATTCCTCAATTTTTATACTAATTCAGGGTTTCAAATGATGAGACTCTGCTTTGTTCTCATTATAACAACAGGTTGCTTCCTTCTCAGCCCAATTCTTTTTATGTATCCTAAGACCCTATAGGAAGGACTTGCCTCTAGGTCCATTCTTTCTATGTATCCCAAGATGGAATATGAAGGATTGACTCCTACCCTGTTTTCCCAGGTGCATACAGATACCAGGCAACCCACTAAAGATAAGTGCAGACTGCCCGACTCCGCAGGCCAATCGATCTAAGCCTGCTATAAACATTCCATTGTGGGCCCAAGTGAAAAGCCCCCACCTCCCTTGACCTAGTGGCTTTTTTATTAATCTCTGCCTCCTTGCTCACACCTCATAAAACCCTGCTTCTATCCCAGCTCTGACACACAGTCTCCCAAGCCCGTGGGACAGCTGTGTCCCTTACTGCTCTATCTCAATAAACAGTCCTCACCTGTGGAACATGGAGTAAAGCCTGTTTCCTTCCTTTCTCCTCCATTTTCCTAACAGGCAGAGAGGCTCAATTGACTTGAAGCTCCTCGTTTAGGTCTAATTTTGGAACCCTCAATGATGGAAAATAATTTAAAATGAAAGCACTTTTTCCTCTGACTGACACATCTTAGAACTGTCCTTGCTGCCCATGATGCTGAATCATTTCCCCTCCCCTCCCGCCCCTTCCCCCTAGTTTAAGGGGCAGAGGTGGGGAATGCCCCGTTTCTCCTTTAGCCCAGCTGAAGGGGTCTTGGTTGCCCTTCCCAGGCTTTCCTCCCAAATAATACCTGTCAGTCTGTTGAGTTTGCACTTTCTTTTCCTTTTCCTTTTGTAAAGGTGATATACAGAGGGGTTACAGTTACATAAAACAGGTAATAAACACATTTCCTTTTAGCTGTGTCACCTTCCTTCCTTTCTTTTTCTTTCTTTTTTCTGTGTGTGCAGGACCTCAGGCCTAAGCTTAGAGCCTAGGCACTGTGTCTGAGCTTCTTTTGCTCAGGGATAGTACTCTACCACTTCAGCCACAGTGCCACTTCCAGCTTTTTCTGAGTAGTTTATTGAAGACTCTCAC